TTCAAATAGCTCAAAGAATCATGTTCTTTGGAAACGCAAAAATCAGGCAAGACACAATTCGACCCCCTTCTTGTATCTAAGAGTAGTCTAAAATAACATAAAACAACCTTGTAATTCTGCTTCAAATATTTATTAGGTAGACTCCTTCTAAATCAAGGCTAAAGAAGTAGTGTAATCCACGGGTTTTACCAACAAATTTCTGGTAATAAGTTGCAGTATCATTGACAAGGAGACCCAATAGAAAGTATAACCAATGTTGGAATGTAACGACCCGATAGATCGTTTTGAGTACTAACTCCTTTTCTGTGTTTCGAGACCTCTCATCTTATTTTAATGATATGACTTGGTGCATGGTCCGTGTCATTTTCGGAAAGCTATTATGTAAAATTTTAAATAAAATATGATTTTTGACTTAAAATGAGGCTTGAGATGACCACGGCAAACGTTCTTGGTAAACGACCTCGGATCGATGCTTTGACAATTCTGGTAGGTTTGTATGATGTCTTTGGACTTGTATGCATGTTCAGTTGGGATCCTAGGAGACCCGCGCATGTTTCATCGCATTATGTAACAATTGGCAAAAGTTTAGTTTCAAGCTGAAAATTTTGAGTCTTTATGATGGATTCTTGATGTTTGATGTTATTTTAGTAATTTGAGTTAGAGAGAGAGTTTGTATGATGTAATTCAATTTGTGTGAATGTTCGAATTGGATCCCAGCAAGGGAGGACTTGGGTGAGTTCCGAGTGAGTTTTAGTGTGATTTATTATAGCTAACTATCAGTTGTTGCTAGTGTGAGCCTGCAAATCTTGCATTTGTGAGGTCTAGCTCGCATCTGATAGTACCTTTTTTGTGATCAAGGAATCAAATTTGCGAAGAGGGCTGCGATTAAGGCACTTCGTATTTGCAAAGTAGGATCTGTATTTGCGAAGGCTGGGTCATCACAATTGCGGCTAGTGTGTTGCATTTGCGATGCTGGGCAGTTTCGCAAAAGTGAAGCTTAGTTCGCATATGTGCAGGAAGAGACATTCGTAAATGCGAAGGCTTTTTTGTATTTGCGATATTTCTTAGGCTCAGGAACTGATTGCAATTGCAGTGATTTGTATTTGTGGACATCGCACTTGGGAACAAGTATTCACAATTGCGATGCCTATAGCTGGGCAATAGTTAGAAAAATTGGGAATTAGCTATTATACACCATTTTTCAACCCTAGACTCCATAAAGGAGATTTCTTGAGAGTCATTTCTTCGCAAATTTGTTGATAATCAAATTTAATTTTTTTTCATGAATTTCTACATCAAATCAACAAATTTCAAGGTACAAAATAGGGGTTCTGGGTAGAGTTTAGGAATTTTGTAAAATCGAGGTTTAGACCTCGAATAGAGATTTAGACATCAAATAGATATCCATCCACATTGGATAGTGCACTGGGAGATTTAGAGAACTTTCTTTCACTCTTACTTTCTACTCTGTTAACGGTCAATTCAACCCCCCCCCCCCCAAAATCCCGTTGTGACTTCACCTGCGACCCCCTCGCCTGTGTCACCGCCAGAGTAAGGCCGAAAATCAATAGTGAGTATTACCCTACCCTTTTCTCTCTCGATTTTCCCTCTTCACTTCCCTTTCTCCTCCTCCTACTCTTCTTCTCTCGTCACTATACCCCCATCAGCAGTCCCTCTTTATCCATCTCCTCTCTCTCTCTCTCTCTCTCTCTCTCTCTCTCTCTCTCTCTCTCTCTTTCCTTTCTTGCTCCTATTTCCCATTCCCTTCTCCCCCTCTTTCTCAGGCTACCTTTGCCAAGATCCGAATAGGGGTAGCACTTCAGCAGCATTTTCTAGTATTTGTCTCTTTTTATGGCCCAAGAGTCTGCCTTCTTTTGAGTATTTCAGGTACCTATCTACAAGAGGCTATCGGAGAAGGTGAGCGTGAGGCAAACATGCAGGCGGATGTTTGATTTGCAACTGATGGCAGTGAAAGTGGTGGCAGCGTGTGGAAGGTCAGAATTGATTTATTGGGTGCAACAGAGTAGCCCCAACATTGGTTGGTGTTTGAAAAAGGCCGGTGGGAGTTGGAAGGAAGAACCTCAAACTCTGCTACCTCAGATGCGCACAAGTTGAATTTTCAGGTTCTATTCTCAGGAGTTGGTACCTCCTGCTTTCCTATTTCTCTTTTTTGTGTTAGTTACATTGTTGTTATTTTAGTCCGCATTAGTTAATCTTACTATTAGCGTGCCTGTAGTAACAACTTGTTTTATTCTAGTTTGGTCTGTTGCTTTTTTTGTTAGTAGTTTTCCTTAGTCTGTCGTAGGTATAGTGGTTATGGTCTGGGATAGTAAAGTAAGGTCATGTCCTCGGGATGGGCGNATCATAGGTACATTGACGAGTAAGTCTATTGAGTTGGCAAAGATTCTCCAGAAAATGAAGGTCAATATAGCCTTTGTCCAAGAGACTAGTCTCCCCCTTTAAAATAGGTTTAAGCTTCTTTTTACACGAGTTGGGATCGTGTAGGGCCGTAAAAACTAAGTCCTGTGCAAAGTAGGAAAAGTCCCGCCTCAGTGTCCAGGGCAGCACGACGCGCTGGCCTTGCGTAGGTTGAGTGCCCGAAAGTTTTCGCTTCTGGTTTTTGCGTCGCGCTGCCTGAGGCAATTTTCTTCTTTTCTCTACTTTTTGCTTCAAATCGTACTCTTCCGTTCCACATTGTTTTCGGATGACTCTTACATACAAAAGACCATAAATTAACATAAATCAATCATTACACATATAATTTCACGAAATTCGAATAAAATGTGAGGCGACATATATGTAACTATACATACTTTAAGCGAAATATCAACTTTAAGCGAAATATCAACAATCTTGAGGCCTAGAGATCTTATGCGGCCAAACACCTCAATACGCAGAGCGGTGGCCCCTTATATGTTGTGAACTTTACGTCTTAAATTGTCTGTTTTATACGTTTCAGGAATGTTCTTACGCACCTTCCGCCTGCTACTCCACCCTTTGCGTTTCAAACACTTTTATGTTTAAAATTTATTTAAGTATCTGACTATAACTTATATGATATGTTTTATAATTAAGAAGTTCATGAGATAAAATATTATTGTGTAAATATATTATTACAAATGGATAGTCACGTCGATTTTTCTTCACGTATTGTTTTCTTTGAATCCTACACAACTTTGATTACATTTTTCTATAATTTCTTATATTTAATCTATTTTAAGTGCCTATTTTAGTCTATTATAAAAAATAAAAATAAAAACTTGGAACTTACACCTTGTGTCTTGGGGTTTTCTGTCGCATGATAAAAAATTGGTAAAAACTTACCTGCACCGAGTGTTTACACCCAATGTTGTTAAGTTAACCATATAAGATAAACTAAGGTCTTTTAGGAATTTTATTTAAAATAAGTTAATAAAAATTAAAAACTTAAGGTTGCTGTAAACTTCCTCGTTCTTCTTTCTTTTATTCCTAATCTTCTTCAAGTGTTTGGCTAAATTTCAAAGTACCGATTATTTCTGATCTTCTTCGAGCGTAAAGCATAATTCCGAAATAACAACATATGTAGTTGGGAATTAGATTAAGAGCCAAGCCATGAAGGTTTCCGTTCTTTTACTAGTATGTTGCTCGATTAGTCTTGCACTCTCAGACTTGGGAAGCATAGATTATGATAGTAATTTATACATTTTATTAATAAGTTAGATTCGATGCAAAATAATAAATGGTTTTCAATGGTGAAATTGATGGTATGAATTCGTATAATTTTAAATTTCTTGCGAGAAATAATGTTTGTCAAGAAATAGAGTTGAGAGATAAAGTAGTTTTTGCATAATTTTTGTGAAATTTGGGAATATATTATTTGGTAATGGCCTGTGATACCATAAAGACCATAGACTATATATTAAAATTTTCAATATTAGTATTATTAGTATCAATATAATTAAGTATTGATAATTATAGTTAAAAATACTGACATATGTCATTTGCTTATTGGTTGGGTGTAAACACCCCGGTGCGGGTAAGTTTTTTCCTAAAAAATGTGATCCACAGCTTGCCTCATTTGGACAATATTTGCTTGAAGTTGATTAAAAGGGTTTTTGGTATTAACATTTTATGAGTAAAAATTATTATTTCACTTGAACTAGTTTTCACATAAGTTTTTAAACTTCAAATTTTTTATTTTAAGTTGAAATTAAATTGTAAAAACAAAATTATACAATAATGATTCAATATTTGCCAATAATGTTTGATTTGAAGTTATGTCTCAATGCCTACTTCGTCTTTTCCACATGATGTTCTACGAAAAGTGAGGTATTAATTTAAACATTTTAAATCTTCACCCAAACTTATCACAGTGACAGAATTTGGAGCCAGCAATTTTCCCTTGCATTTTGGCACGTGGATTATGTCTTGGCAAAATGGAAGAAATATCGTAGTCTCCTTTAATTCGAGCATGCAAACTATAGTTTTGTTTAATTCATCACAAAATTCAGTTTTTAGATGTAGAATTTTTTTAAAAAAAATAATGTAGGAATTAGAAGAGGAAAGTTTGATAGCAGAGGTTCTAAATAATTTTGAAAGTGCAATATCATTTTTATAGGATAATTCTGAATTTTGATAGGTCATCAAAGCTTATCTTTTGGAAGTTGATATATTAAATTTTAGGGATAAACATTGCATTTATTTATCTAAAAGAAAATTATTACTTAGGAATAACGTTGCATTTATCAAATAGTTTAAGAACCTTTGGGGCCATTAACTCTAAACGGAGTTCTTCAGGAAAAAAATTGAGTGTAATTTAAAAAGAAATACCACTTGTTGTAGATGTCGATGCTTTTAAATGTCTGGAGGGGATAGAGAAACAGAAATGACATTAATGATATTTAAAATAATACAGGTGAAAAAACAACTAAGAATGATACATATTTAAATCGTGAAAACTTTGTTATGATATTAGCACAAAACGAATTACTATAAGTAGCTAGGGTGAAACAGACTTACTTTGCCAAAAGAAAAATATTTGTCTCCATGAATATCACTGTTGGAAACTTATAAATATAATTCATTCTCATTATAAGAAATCAAGATTTGTCTGCATGCACTGCTCATAATAACTAAAAATTGAACTCTTTTGTAATGAGGCTAGGATATATTATACAAAGCATTACGTTAACAGAAGCAATTCCTTAAAACTGGTATACAATACAACCTCTCTCTTTTAAGTTGTTAGTTGAAGACCTGGTGGAACTGGAATTTCATTAGAATGTCCCGAGATGCAGAGATTGCCATGATTATCCTGTTCCCAATAAACCTCAACCATAAGCCCTCGAGGGTTCTCTGAGGATGTTGTCCCTGGGATCTCTACATACTTCGATCCTAAGGGTACCTTCATTGCATTGTAAGGCCAATTAGTGACTTTGTTTTTGAAAATTTTCATCTTTTCTCAGAATGCTGTTTAGCCGGTTAACGATATAATCTTCATCCAAATTCAAATTGAAGCACTTACCTGGAGAGTGGTTCCGGATGCTAATGCCAGTGTCTTGATGCTTCCTTCAGATTTGGCTTCCTCTAGCTCTGCCTTCTTTGCAATGTTCATAAACACTTCTTCTAGCGTTGTAAGACCTATCTGGATATTTAGTATGCCAAATTCCGTTTTCCTGTTTTCTAGCTTGGAGAAAAATTTCTGATGCAGGTGCACCAATAATATCAGGATAAAGTTTGACTACTCGTACAAATGTTATAATAGTTACTTACTCCTAGTTGATTCTCCTTCTCGTGAGGAATAACAAAAGTCAAGGACTTATCTTCCTCTTTTGGTGTGGCATCCAGGTGCTGTAAAACAGATAACTTAAGTCGAGAGCATGAGTTTATTAGTTAAAGAAAATCTGAAAAAAGCGCTCCTACTAAAAGACCTGTCTGAAGTATTCTTTGACTGCCTCACGTTTCCTGTCTATCACATTAGCAGCTGCAGAATTCACATCTTCAGCAACTTTATTCAGACTAACTTTAGTAATAAAACCAGCTCCAAATTGAGACTTCAATGTGGTTGATGTCCCAAGGCAGCGAAGTCTTCCCTTTGCCATAATTCCAATTCGATCCGATAAAATATCAGCTTCCTCCATAGAATGTGTTGTCAGAATGATTGAACGTCCTTGCTTTGCAGCCTCAATTACACTCCAGATATGCCTCCGAGTTACAGGATCCATACCAGTTGTCTACAAGTTGAAGAAATTTACTTCAGGATATAGAAAATACACGCATATTATTAAAGTAGTAAAGATTCACATACTGGTTCATCCAAAAAGAGAAGCTTCGGATTTCCAATCAATGCTATTGTTAAACTAAGGCGACGTTTCATTCCACCACTATAGCCACTGACTCTCACTTTCGCTACATCATCAAGTTTTACATCAGCTAATAAGCTTTTAGCTTCCTGTCATTCAAGTAAATGAAGAAGATCTTAGAGACAGATATCATCTGGAATGGCTGCACGATCAAACAAATTCCAGCATGAATGCAATTTTGTGTTAAGCTACTTCATATAAATATATGACTGCAGAATATAATATAGAACTGATGAATATGTAGATATTACAAATGCCGGATGGCAAATTCTTCCTCCCAAATGAGAAGTATTGAAGCTAGAGGATGTAGAATATCTATTTTTTTTTCCAATGATAGATAGTAAGTTGACACATGATATTTATTTGTGGTAACTTAAAGATGTAAAGGGGAGGAATCTTCCCTTCTTAATTCTATTTTCCACTTAAGCAATTCCTTTATAAGGATCTCACGACGTATAGAATTAGACTTAATTCTAACTTTGCTTTTGAGAAGATAAGGTATTGTGTCCCCCTCCTTCAAGTATTTATGTCTTGGTTACCTGTATATTGTAGTTGTCTAGGCCAAATCCCTCCTCACTACCACCAACACAAGGTGCATTTTATTAAAATACAGAAAATGCTTCATGGGCTCACCAATCTTTTTGAAGTTGCAGATAATCCTTTGATGCTGGCGAAGAGTTCAAGGTGCTCTTGTCCAGACAATGCATCCCAAAGAGTGTCAAACTGCAATAGGGTATGCAAAAGTTACTTTATGCTTTCTAAAAGTAAGCACCACAGAACTTGAATTGACTAGTAAATGGATACGGAACTACGACTACCTGTGAGCAGACTCCAATTAGCTTTCTTATGTTTGAAATGCCAACCGCACTTCGGATAGAGTTTCCATATATTAATGCTGTTATAAAGAAAAATGTATCAGTTATACAATTCTTTTTTTTTTCACACTCAAACCATAAAAATCATTTGTAATGTTGAACTATTAAAGATATTACCATCTCCACGAGTCACTGGGATTATACCCGTTAAGCAACTAATTGCCGTCGTTTTGCCTGCTCCATTGGGTCCCAGGAGACAGAACAGTTGGTCCTTCTCAAGATTTAACCAAAGACCCTGAATTAAAAAGTGCACCTTTCATCACTAAACATATTCCATTACATGTTATGGTCAAATGCTGGAAGAAAGGACAAGAGTTTCCTGTGTTTGCTGGCTTTTGATATTGAAACTGGCACGCTATGTAGCAGGGGATCAGGCTCAGCCGAAAGGGGAAGTGCGTGATGGTAATCAATTCTAGATGGTGACGTCTATTATTTCGTGTGCCGATGCTATGTGATTAAATAGTTGTTAAAGACTTAGATTTTGTCAGAGAGTATTTCAATATTAGATTGTATGTTAGATTGTGTCTGATGGTATAGTCAAAGATTGTGGGTAAAAGCCATGATCTTAGGATACACTCTTGAAATTATGTCTCTAGCTTTGTGTATATATTCTAGGAGTAATCTATCTTTTGCAGTATGAAGTGAAATACACTTACATCATTCACATGGTATCAGAGCCTCTACGATCTCGGTAGAGACTCGAATACTTTTTCCAATTGCTTTTTCTGTCAGTCACTACTCCGGTGGATTTTTCCGACCACCTTTTCCGGTTGCTTTTTCCGACATCCACTTCTTCGGGACTTTTATTTCAGATACGTGAGGTCGACCATTTATTCCGGTCTTACCCATCACATTCTCTAAAATCTCCAAAGTAGTTTACGGTCAGATCTTGTTACTCTCTGACCCGACTCTATTAATAAGCTCCTTTCCCCGCCAGATCTTGTGATTTTGGTGAGAGGAAAAGAAAACTATTCTGTTAGATAGAGGGGATTTTTCGTTTGAAGCAGAAGAGTAAAACTTTGGTTTTGAAAAGCTTTTTCAAAAGTAAAGCTTTCTTTATTTCAAGTCATACTTTATTACTTTGTCTTTACATGTGGGGGTCATTCTTACAAGCTTTCTTGTCCAACAAAGTCTTCTATTTCATTACACAGTGCTCTTACTTTTGTCCTCTTTCCCATACTATTTTGTACCCTTGCCTTCTTGAAATTTAATATCAAAATGACAGGTGAGTCATCCACAACAGAAGAAGTCAAACCATTTTTCTCTTCAATTTCGAATCCTTCCACCATTACTACTGTTAAATTACAAGGTAGTAATAATTACTCACCATGGTCTTCTTCAGTTGAAATGTGGTTCATGGGACAAGGATATGAGAATCACTTAGTCAAAAATGCTAGTAAAATTGGCACTAGTGAAAAGACTAAGTGGACCCGAATTGATGCACAATTATGTAATTTTTTATGGAACTCTTTGGATCCTAAATTACTCAACTTGTTTCAATCTTGTAAAACTTGCTATAAAGTTTGGACTAAAGTTAAAGCTTTGTATACGAACGATATACAATGAATATACAAAGTAGTTTCAGATTTAGTCCAACTTCGGCAGAACAATCAAGATATGGCGAGTTATTTAGGACAAATAGATACCTTGAAAGATCAATTTAACTCACTCATGCCACTTACTGCAAGTGTCACCACCCAGGAGCAACAAAGAGATAAGTTTTTTATGGTTTTGGAACTGAAAGGACTTCGATCTGATCTCAGCCCTGTAAAGGATCAGATCTTGGCAAGCTCTGTAGTTCCTTAATTAGTTGAGGTTTCAGCTCGACTATTGCGTATTGGAACAGAAACACTTGATACTAATAAAGTGGAGACACCTGTATTAGCTGTGCAAAATGAAAATCCACAAGAACAAAATGTCTCTCAAAGAGGAAAAGGTAAAAGCACCAGACCCTACTGCAATTACTGCAACAAGCCAGGCCATACTCGACAAACTTGTTGGAAACTGCATGGTCGACCATACGTACAAACAATCGCAGTACAGCCCACATGGTTCAAAATGGTGGTGAAACAGATGATCAACATGCTAATTTTATTACTTTATCTGGAGTGGATTAGAGTGATTACCTACAGTATCAAGCGGCTAAACAACAATCACTCTCATCTGGCACCTCAAAAACTGGTAATTCCTTTGCTTTTCTGAGCAGGTCTTCACCCAATTGCTCGTGGATACTGGACTCGGGTGCATCTGATCATATCTCCGGTAATCAGAATCTTTTTTCAAACCTTATTCCTTTCTCAACCCTCCCTGCGGTTACCCTTGCTAATGGCTCGCGAACTGCAGTAAAAGGAATAGGAGAAGTGCAATTTCTTCCCTCTATCTCTATAAACTCAGTTTTATTTGCTCCAGAATGCCCATTCAATTTGATTTCCATTAGTAAATTAACCAAAAGTCTTAATTGTTCTGTCACTTTTTTTGCTAACTCTGTTGTTGTGCAGGACTGGAGAACGGGGAAGACGATTGGAACAGGATATGAGTCACAGGGACTATATCATATATCCAGATCACAACCACCAGTTGCCTTCACTTTCGTTGCGTCAGCTGATCTACTCCACGGCCGTTTAGGTCACCCGAGTCTTGCAAAGCTTCATAAATTAATTCCTAGTCTTTCCACATTGTCTTATTTTGAATGTGAATCTTGTCAGCTTGGGAAACACACCCGCACTTCATTTCATAAAAGAGTTAATAATAGGGCGGCATCTATGTTTGACATTGTTCACTCAGATGTTTGGGGTCCTAGTCGTGTTGTTTCAAGTTTAGGATTTCAATATTTTGTTGCCTTTATTGATGACTTCTCCCGTTGCACATGGGTATTTTTAATGAAAAATCGTTCTGAATTATTCTCTTTTTCAAAACTTTTGCGTTGAGGTAAATAATCAATTTGGTGTTTCAGTAAAGGTATTACTTAGTGACAATGCAAAAGAGTATTTATCATTCCCTTTCACTAGTTTCATGTCATCTCAAGGAATCACTCATCAGACCTCATGTGCATATACTCCTCAACAAAATGGAGTTGTCGAACATAAAATCGGGATCTCATTGAAACTGCTTGTACCTTACTTATCACGTTCCTCTTCGTTTTTGGGGAGATGTTGTTCTCACTGCTTGCTATCTGATCAATAGGATGCCTTCTTCTGTGTTGCAACATCAAAGTCCACACTCAATTCTCTTTCCAGGTCAAAATCCCTATCATTTACCTTTGAGAGTGTTTGGATGTACTTGCTTTGTTCATGATCACAGTCCTGGAAATGACAAACTCCAACCAAAGTCAATTAAGTGTGTCTTTCTTGGATATTCTCGTTACCAGAAAGGTTATAAATGCTATGATCCAAAAGCACATAAATATTTGATCTCTGTGGATGTAACCTTCTTTGAGACATCTCCCTATTTTTCACTAAACACTACAAACAGAAATTTGATACCTCAAGTTTTGCCAGTGCCTACATTTCCTATACCGCAGGTTAGTCTTACAGACAGACCTCAAAGCTCTCCTCCTCTCCAAGTATACTCCAGACGTGCCCGTCCTCTAGCTAATACTAATGATAGCACTACAACTGATTCGGATACATTGGTAGCTCCCGATGACTCATTTCTTGCTCCTAAGTCACCTGCTCCAGTCATGCCTTCATCAGATGCAGTAACTCCACCAATCGCCATACGCAAAGGTATACGCACTACTCAGTGTAAGCACGTGATTTTTGCCCTATATGAGAATTACTCCAAAAAAATTCAAAAAATAAAATAA